CCGGCTGGAAGCGGGTCAAGGACCAGCCCCAGTTTTGCCTCTGATCTTGCAGAAGTCCTTTCTTTTTCTGATGTTGCTGTTCTTTGTGCAAAAAACAGATGGTGAGCCCGAATTCCCTTGTATGGCTTGCAGCCACATGGAGAGAAGCGGGATGTACAAGTTATTCTGACATCCCAGGGGAAGCAGCCCCTGCGTCAGTGTTTTCTGATGAAAATATTCTCCTTAATAATTTTATCATCTGCTTCACTGCCAGTGGGCACCATGGCATAGCAAGGACTGCTTGCAGAAGGCTGGGGAGGGGAACAAGTTTTTCTTAATTAAAACTCTCTTTTCAGAGTTATTTTTTTCACCCATTCTTTTGCTGGAGCTGCCATGCCATCCCTTGTGTGTGCCGTTTGCTGCTCAGCAGGTGCTGGGTGGATTCCAATGCTGCTGCACCTGTGCCCAAGGGAGGGAGCCTCGAGGGGCCCCTGCTGCATGGGGTGAGTGGAGAGGGACAGCACGTGGTGGAGGAAGCAGCTCTGACCTGCCAGAAAGGATGGGGTGGGATGAGGCAGCAGCCCCCCATGCTGAGCAGCATCCTCCTGCTTGCCCCAGGTGGCATCCAAACACATCGTCTGGGTTGCTCCCTCCAAGCAAACCAGACCTGTAGCACCAGCACCACCAAGCCCAAGACAAGAGTTTGGCCAGCCCGTCCAATGCCTCTTTCTAGCCCCGCTTGACTGGGAAGCACAAGCAATGCCTTGAGCCTGGTGTAGCAGAGGACAGGCTTTCGGCACCCTCCTGTGTGGTGGGTCTCCTCTGGGTCACCCTTTTCTGCCTGGTTGGCAGCTTTGGCATTAGGCAGATTGCCAAAAGCCCTTTTGTTTAAATAATGCTCCTTGGGGGTAGTTGCTGGCTCTGCCAGACAGGAGCAAAGCACATTGATAGCTGCAGTATATTTCTGAGGACAAAGGGGGTCATGGGCAGTAATTGTTCTTAACTGCATAACACTTGGAAAATTGTTTCTGCAGCTGTTGCAATGAGCTGGTTAAGCAAAACTGGGTTTTTCTCTCTCTCTTACATGCACAAAGGAACGTTGGTACCTGTGTTTTGTGAGCAGCCTTCCATTCTCCCTCTGTTACCAGGATTGCAGTAAACTGGAGAGGATGTGCACTTTCCCAGGCAGTGCCAGGTGCCTTCTCCCTCAGCTTGCTCGTAGTCAGGTCACCCTTGTTTCCCAGGATGGTCCCAAACACTGCAGTTACCCATGTCCTAGCTGAATGAAAGCATACAGAGTGCTCCAGAAGAGCGCTGTAAAAACAACTTTGATTTTGCAAATGGAGGCCTGAAGGCTGATGGCAGAGGAGATGCTGATGTCTTGGTCGGGAGCTAGATGTGCACAAGAGAGGCACCTGGCTCACCCTTGAAGCTCTGCTGCTTATTGTGTCACGCTGAATCTGCTCCCCATTTGGGGTTGTTCCCAGCGCAGGTTACTGAGATGCCGGCTGTTTCACAAAAGCTTTCGCACACCCATGACACCTTCATGCTTCCCAAGGGTGATTAGAAAGCAAAGCTGGGTCGCTCCATCACTGGAGCATGGCGATGAAGTCTCACGCTAACCAAAGTATGCCTCCTACATGGACGAAAGCTTCTAGACAGTCGATGGCTGATGCAGTTTGAGCCATACTCAGACTTTTCACTGCTTGAGAAGGATTGCTGCTTTTCCATGCTGAATTCTTCGGATTGTCGCATTTTGCTTGGAAAATAATTGCCAATGTATTACCCACCAGCTTTATGAAAGACACATCAAAGATCTCTGGGTGATGGATTTGTTTTCGGTTTGTTTCTCTGGGATTTCTTCACTGGAATTTAGTGTTAACTGGTTATTTATAAATCCAAGCATCTTTCTGTATATTTAATTACTCTTGTGTGTAGACTGATGGAGAAGTTACTGAGTCACCATCATTTACTGGAGGGGAATGCTTCTATTTTTAATTCTCTGTCTCTTTATGGGTGGATGAATGGCAAGCTAATAGTCGTGTTGAAATTTGAGTGTCAGAAAACAAGGCAGAAACTTGAGACTTGCTCATCATAGGTAACTTGCTGTGTTACATACTCCTATCTTGAGTCTTTAAACATGCCTTTACATGCCATCCCTGCATATTTTATAAAGTGAAGTGATCATTATTTGATCCTTTGTAGGAAGGAATATGAAAGACTCTGCCTGGTTAAATAGGCTAAACATGAATTAATTTGACAATACCTTATTTTTCTGATTAGTCTTAATGTGGTGCTGGCTCTTGATTACCAATCTACTAAGACATAATTCTTCAAGGAATTAGCAGAGACAACATGCTGGACTGATTGTCCTGTTAATGCTGTTAGTTGCAGTAAATAGAGTATCTTAAGGGATTGTAGGTTTATTTGCTATGAACATGAAAAACCTACTTACTAGGAAGGTAATTTAATTTGTTAAAGATCTTTGGTGGGAAAAATGGCTGCTCATAGGAACATCAATGAAGGTTCCCGAAGAACCTTCTGCCCTCAGGGTCTGAGTGCCACAGGGGTGAAGTTGCTGCAGGCTGGGATGTCAGGGCATCATCGAGGTGATAACTTCCAGCTTTGCTGGGAGGTTGGAGGTCAGCTGAGCTCTTGTGGTTGTGGTGTCTTGCAGCTCATCTCATGTTGGCACCAAGAGAACCAAGTCTGGGGCCTTTCTCTGGGCTGTTCACTGCTCCACAGTCATGGTTATTGCAAGGATAAAGCATCATGCTGAGCTTCTAGGGCAAGTACACCTCCTGCTTCGTGGCCATGGAGGATGTCCTCTAGATTGCAGCCCCTGCGCTGTCACCTGTGGACCTGTTCACATGCATTTTTGGATGTCAGCAGG